TAACTATCACTAGCTTATCAGTCAAAAAAAAATCTAATATTTCCTTATAAGGAAAAGGCTAATATTACCATTACCAATATGCAGTGTTGTCCACGAGGATCCGAAGTATTCAACGAGATTTAAGGCATTTACACTTTTGGTAAAACACAGTGGAATACAGAAGTATAACTCTTAGTTATTAATCTATAGCGTATATTCTCATAAGGTAACATGTAGATGTCCTATCAGATTTCAGTATTCGTGACCACAGTCTTAACATAAAATATGTATATGACACAGGGCTGATCTGTCACCGAAAGAAAACTACAAAGCTCCTACAGAAGGTAGTTAAAGAAAACAAGAAGAAAGGACTAAACATAAACTGCAAGTTGACAGAATCCATATATAATAGCAAAGTGATACCCCCACAATGCAAATTACAAATAGGTGGTGCCAAATTCAACTAAACACAAGCACATAAATATCTTGGAAGTGTTCTAACAGAGGACGGAAAATGCGACACTAAAATGCGAAGACGCACTGGGATAGCCAAAGATGCATTTCAAATGCTAAGCAGAGTATCAAGAAATAGAATAACTTCGTTAAAAATGAAGACAAACCTACTGAACTGTTACGTGATATCTGTCCCACTGTATGGCAGTGAACGCTGGACAATTTTCTCAGAGATGAAGAGGAGACTTAAAGCAATAGAAATATAGTTCTACAGCAGTGGTTCCCAAAGGATTTTAGAACATGACCTACTTTGGTATTTCTAAAATTCTGGTGCCCTCCCCACGTAATATTTAATTCTTACATAATCAAAGTCTTACTGCAATTCACCTGAAGGAATCTTAAAAGGCCATTAACTTTCCCTCTATACAATCCTACAAAGACCATGAAAGAAAAAATTAAAAAAAACAAAAACACAAATATATATATATATATATATATATATATATGAAAGAAAAATACAGAAAAAACAAAATTCTGAATATGCATTATTAATGTTAAAATAAAGTCGACGTCGGACGTTTCGGTCTATTTAAGACCATCTTCATGGACATTTTCATTTAAACATAATTAACATTATAACTTATAACAATTTAACACAAAAGACGATGGACATAAGAGCCCAACTAATTCAAACAGATAACTGAAATTTTATACAGATCAGCGTTCTGTTTAAATATGATCACGTAGTCGTCACGTGGGCGATGTTGTTAAGACGTAATCGAAGATGATTATGTTTTTTGTATAATTCCTTATTATAGTTATTGAATATTCATAGAATAATCTGTCACAACCTGATTTAGGCTAGAAGCATTCTTGTAAAAATTGTTTGATTACGGAAAATTCTCCAAATATTGTGTGTGTGTGTGTGTGTTTTGCGCGCGTGCTTGCGTACGCGTGCTTGTTTTTATGCATATACATACGCATGCAAACGCGCGCGCGCAAGCAAGCACACATATATATATATATATATATATATATATATATATATATATATATATATAGGAGAAAGAGATGTATTTGATTATAGGGGGGTTTCAAATAGATATTATAGTATATTTTCCAAACTTTTTGCTACAGGTGTTTCGGATTATGTGACCTTCATCAGGCGAGTAATGGTTATTTCCATATATTATTTAAAGGAATTATTTTTTCCCTTATTTTTGTTATAGTTAACAATTGTCTTTTGTGGTTGGGAGTAATCCAGCTTCTACTTGGAATGGTGAAGAAAATGCTTCTCTGTTTAAGGAGTAATAAAACAATTAAGATTGTTCAGAGAAAGAGGGAAGGATGGAACTCTCTGTTCTTACCATTTTATAACCGCTGTATCTTCGTAACGACCATGCCATCCTCAGCACCTGATGATTGCTTTGTACAAATTCCGAATCGTTTTACCGGTGAGGAATAATATGTACATTTATTCACACACACATATATATATATATATAAGTAATTCATTGAGTCTGAAAGAAACGTTAACAGAATGCAGAAAGCACTGGACGGCCGTTTTGTCCTATATTTGGGACTCATCAGCAGTGCGCATCCATTACCGAGAATTGAAACCCGGACAGTTTGGTTATCAGTCAAACGTCATACCAACTGTTCCAAGCAAATCAGACTCAATACAGCGCCGCTCGCTTACATATTCCGTGGTGGAACTCAACTGAGATTCTCTCTAACCATAGAACTGTGCCCCTAGGTGCCACGACTACTATCACCATGCCGCTCAAACTTGAGCATTAGAAGCCGATTCAAGCAATGATATACAAATGATAGAAATTATTAAGAGGATTTGATAATTATAATTAAGTAATGTATGTGTGTGTGTGTGTGTGTGTGTGTGTGTGTGTGTAAAGAGAGTGAGAGAATTAATGTGGAGAAAATTATCACTTAACTGAGTGGTGTTATTTCAGTCATACCGATTTCGAAGTTTCGATAGTAATTATTATAGTAATTCCTTCATTTTTAGTGCTGTTTTTTTTCCTGCTGCTTCCCAGTTTTTCCTATTTATGTATTGTTTGCTGTAATTTGATATCTTTCTCTGGGTGTGTGATTTTTTTTTTTTAACTCAATGGTTGTTGCGTTATTTGCTTTTAAATTTAAGTTGTTTGATGTTTCTTAAGTGGTGTAGAGTTACTTGGTGAATGTTTGCTTTGTGGACCCATTATTGAACGTACTTCGTAACTGCTTTATGTAGTATAGTCCTCTTTTTACTGTATTGAGCTAGCCTCTTTTTACCGTGTCAATGTATATGTCCGCTTATGTTTATTTAATATTAAATTATAAGTTTCACCACGTTTATACTATTAACGCTCTATACTTACCTTTTGATGTCGAGCACTTTATGACAAAATTCTGCCTTCCTGAAACACCTTTCCACCCCACTAATGTACGGAAAGATAAACAATATTTTATTTTTGGCACCTAAAACACTTAAAATTTAATATTATATATATATATATATATATATATATATATATATATATGAAGAAATATAATTTTAAGGTGTGTTATATTTATGGGATAAAGTGCTCAGTATCAGTGATAGGGCGCATCTAAATATAAATATAAAAGTGAATACTGAAGTCAACACTCAGAGGCGACAGGCTGTTTCATGCTAGACTCAATCGTCAGGCGTTCTGACGATTGCGTCAACAGAGTTATAATATAACTGTATTATTTCAATATTCGGCATTAGCATTGTTTGCTTTATGCACGGATAATCCTGGATTTGTTCTATGAGAAATCTATTGTCGCATGGTGGAAGGAATGACCATTTAAATCATTAAACGCAAGACCAGCGAAAGAAAGCAAATAAGAAACAAAGGAAATATAAAGAAATTGTTAATCTTATCGCCCATACTTAATAATAAAATACAGTGTAACCCGGATGTAAGAGAGTTGTCGGGACCGGAGAAGAAGTCTCTTATATCCGAGTTTCTCTTATATCCGGGTTTGGTCTATTTCATATACATTAACACAGGCTCTAATTTGGGACTAGAGAAAATCAGTCTTATATCCGGGTTTCTCTTATATCCGGGTCTCTTATATCCGGGTTACACTGTATCTTGTTGTTATAGAAATATGAGACGGTTCTTCATACTGGGTTCAATTAATAATAACTACTGTAACAACGGAATATATCATTACTTAGAAGTGAGATCAGATTGGTTGATTTAAAATATAAAGTCGCATCGTGCACACACACACACACATATATAAATATAGACAAAAAATTAAGAAGTCGTGCAACACATACACACGCGCACACACATATATATAATTGCGCGTGTGTGTGTGTCTGTGTTTGTCTGTGTTGCAATGCTTCTTCTTAATTATATGTCTGTGTTTAAGTTGGTCATTATTCATATAGAGATTGATATGGTATTGTGGTTCATTATTTTCGACCTTGGTCAAGGTGTTTTTGTATATCATTATTTAAATTTTGGATTTCATTTTTAGCAAAACAGGTTTTTTTTGTGAATGTTTTGTTACTTTCCTTCTTGGCCGTCGGGCCATGTAATTTAATAATTGTGTATTTTGGGCAGCAATCCCTCCTTTATGTAAGTTTCATTAAAAGGGAACACACACACACACACACACACACACACACACACATATATATATATATATATATATATATATATATATATATATATATATATATATATATACACACATACAGAGAGAGAGAGAGGGAGAGAGAGAGAGAAAATTAGTGAATTAGAGCCAGAGAATGAAACAGATTGGACACTTTGTATATGGAATATATTCATAGGCATTTGTCTCGAATTAAGGTCAACCTATGCTGACAAATTTGCGTATATTTTCACAAAGACATGTATTTGCAATTCCAAATACAATTCTTCAAATATATGCCTATAATTATACATGATATATACATGTGCGTGTATGTGTGTGTCGATGTGCATCCGTGTAGTAAAGAATTGTTACAATTTGACTGATTTCTCTCCCAAGACCCGTTAGTTATTATCGCCAAGTTTCGCTCAAAAAATCGAATCGAAATTCCCAAAGCCAAGTTTTGCGATTGGTAAAAGGACAATTTGCATATGAAAACCTCCCTCCCCCAGGTATTTATTTCTTTTTATTTTATTTCGTTCGTGGCTTTCCCCTCCCTCTACCACTTTCTCGCCCCCTCTTCCCTACTCCACCCTTCACCTTCTACCCACATCTTAAAGAAACTCCATTACGCCTTCGCCTCTCCTCGTATTGTTTGTATTTATTTTATATTTATTTTATTTTTCTTCCTGCTCTGCTATCGAAATTTTTACACACACACACACACACACACACACACACACACACACACACACACACACACACACACATTCACGCACATTCACGCACATACACACATATACATAGGCACAACGTGGCACAATACAATACACAGACGAACAAGCACACACACGCTCACATTGCTCTCCACGCGTACATATTTACGCTCTCTTGCTCAAATCTCTACGCATTTGTTTTTTTGCTTCATAACTATGCGTTCTCTCTCTTCTCATTGCTCAACCTTCGCCCGCTCCTCCAACCAGCGCTGCTACGTCGTCTTTCCATTCTCGGCGCCTCATTCCATCCCGCCTCTTCTTGCCGATAATTCATTTGCCTGCTTATTCATTTCTACTCGTTCGCCCATTCGTTCGCCTATTCGTTCGTTTCTTCGTTCACTCCTCCGAACGGTGATACGTCAGTCGACTATTTTCTCCTGTACGTCCTTCAGAAGGAGATCTATTCCTTAGATTCGTTCTCCCATTTTTAACCCAATCTTTTAGCGTTTCATATCTTTCTTTTCTTCTCTCTTTCCTCCTGTCTTATTACATTATCTCTTTCCTTCCCTTACCTCATTATCCATTACTTCTTTCTTTCTTTCTTTCTTTCTTTCTTTCTTTCTTTCTTTCTTTCTTTCTCGTCTTGTTGCATTATCTCTTTCCGTTCCTTACTTCATTATCCAATCTTTTTTCTGTATTTTTCTTTTTCTTTCTTTCTTTTTCTTTCTTTCTTTCTTTCTTTCTTTCTTTCTTTCTTGTTACATTATTTTTTCTTTCCTTAACTCATTATCCTTTCTTTCTTTCTTTTTTCGTTCACTCTTTCTTTCTTTCTTTCTTTCTTTCTTTCTTTCTTTCTTTCTTTCTTTCTTTCTTTCAAATTATTACTTCAAGTTTTTACGTCTTTCTTTGCCCTTTCTCTCTTTTAATTAATTCCCTAAGGCTCTACCTAATTTCTTCCTTCCTTTCTTATCACACTTTCGTATCTTTTTCATTTCTTTCTCATTTTCTTTCTTTGTTTGTTACTTTCTTTCAGATTCCATATCTTTTTCGCGTCCTTCTATTTTTCATCTCTTTTAATTTGTTCCTTCCTTATTTTCTTTCTTTCTTTCTTTCTTTCTTTCTTTCTTTCTTTCTTTCTGCAAAAGAAAATACTTCTCTTCTCCACGTCATTGCGTCTTTCTCTTTTTAAATCATTCTTTAAGTTTTCTTTGTTTTTTAAACTCATTTTTTCACATTTCCATGTCTTTCTTTCTTTCTTTCTTTCTTTCTTTCTTTCTTTCTTTCTTTTCTGTCTTTAATCCATTTCTTTGCGTTTCCACTTTATTAGTTCTTTTTCTCTTTTAATTCTTTATTTAGGTTTCCTTTCTTTCATTTCTTAAAACTCATTCGTTCGCGTTTCTAAGTCTTCTTTCTTTCTTTCTTTCTTTCTTTCTTTCTTTCTTTCGACTCCTTCCTTCATGTATTTTCTTCTAAATCTTTATGAGTTTCATCTTGCTGACTGTATAAATCTTTATTCTTTATTGTTTCTTTCCGTTATTCGCATCTTGCAATTTTTTGCACAAATATTATATCTTTCCATTTTCTTCATCTCTCTTTTTTACACACACTGACTCTCTCACAGCATATGTTTTCGGTTTTCATTTTATTTACTATAGGCATAAACTAACCCTTCAGTTAATCTGGAACAAGGCCAAAATGTTAAGGCACTCAATGCGAGTGTAAATCACTGCACAGATGTATCATTTTGCTTCAATATTTTCCTAGAGATTCTTATAAAAACATTTCTTTATTTTAACTATCTCTATCGGTTGCCATTTTTTTCCCTGATCACTCTTTCCTCTGAACCACTATTTTTCTTAGCTTTTAACATTTACAGGCTGATTGTCTTAAAAAATATGAACCTATATTTTACTGGCATCATTTCTTAAAAGTCTATCAATCTATAAATCGATCTCTCACTTTTCTCAATAACGTAGCATCAATTCCCTAACAATCTGACTTTAATATATCTATCTCTCTAAATAACTCAGAGAATCAGCCTATCGATTACTCTCTAATTATTTATATCATTACTCACTCTCTATTGGCTTCTTTTACTATAAACCCGCTTTTTTTCCGTGTATCTATCAGTCAATCTATGGAATGAATAGTCTTAATTAACCTCTCGCTCACTGGAAATATCACTCCCGCTCCCTTTCTCTCTCTCTCTCTGTTTTTCGCCCATTCTCTTCTTTTCATCGTCTATACTTACTTAAGACTTATCCTGTACTGTTAATAATTCTATCTCCCACCCTAACTCATTCCATCGATCTATATTATCAATAAGACTACTGCTTAATTGATTATTTATCGAATAACTCTCTCTCTTTATATATATATGTATATATATATATATATATATATATATATATATATATATAATATATATACATACATACATATATATATATATATATATATATATATATATATATAGAGAGAGAGAGAGAGATAGATAGATAGATAGATAGATAGATAGATAGATAGATAGATAGAGTAACGATAAACATATGCATATATATGTTTGGAGTTATTAATTAAATCATCAACTATATATATATATATATATATATATATATATATATATATATATATATATATACAGAGAGACAGAGAGAGACAGAGACAGAGAGATAATGAAAGTTTGGTACGACGTATGGGTAATCCCAAGGAGAAT